CCATCGATCTGGCAAGTCTCAAAATAAAAGTATTACTTCTGCTGTCTCCCAAAATAATTTCCACAAGAAATAACAATTTATGCAAGGAGTATATACATCATGCTTGCATTATATAAAAGAAAACAATGAGTGATTTCTCAAAAAGAGAGGATGGCCATAAATACTATAGCAGGTCTCAAGAACTCACCTCACTGATTGATGTGAACGTCAATGATGTCTCCTGCTGTGAAGTCCTTTCAAACTAAAAGAGCAAATTTCTTCCAACGAACCAAGCAAGGTCACGTTTCACCTACACAGTAGGCTTCTTCAGTCGAATACAGACAGCTGAAGCAGTTGGGATGAGAAGACGTGGTTTTGAGGTGGTCAGTCCCTCACCTTGGTGCAAATAGGTGGCTCATATACACTGCTTGCACAATTTACAAGCTGCTTCTCTTGAACACACGAATATATCTTATATTTTTAATCACTCTTAAGTTGCATCCTCATTGTATCACGCGTGTTAAAAAAAATACTAATTTCCTTTTGTAGTGTAGTTTACCAGGTCTAAATACCACACATGAATATAAGGAATATTTTCACTCCATAAAGCATAAATTAAAATAAACTTTCAGTAGATAAGCACAAGTATACGTACATACATGGTGTTGAAGCACTCAACACAACCACTCGCATCACCAGGTCAACACACACTGACTTGACTTGCTTCGTATCCTTCATGATGGGGCGAGATGTGTTGCTCAAACTCTCTTGTTTCAGGAATTTGGCGCTACCCTCTCCCACCTTGGGTTAAACTTGATTACTTTCCCCATTGCTCAGGGGCTGTTTGACCCCCATGTGTTTAGCGCTTCCCCATGGATGGTGAAATATCATAACATTATTCTACTTCGTAACAAACCGAGATTTCGAATCACATAAGGAATTAATTGCAATAATAAGTGTGGAATCAGTAGGGAGACATTTCTGTCCTCTATACAGCTCAAATAACACCACACACTAATTAATACAATACAGCTGAGGAACCGGACAAAAGCAGTTTCATTTTGGCGATATCTGTCTTGTCTCGTGATGCAAAACCACAAATGAATATGAACCATTTGCTGCTTCATAAAACTATCAGTTTGAAGCACTCGTTACTATAAAATGCTTCACTTTCTCTGATCAATGTTCAACAAATTTGTGGTTAAAAGACAATTACAATATTATATTGTGTTTTGTGACAGCGTAATTTTGGATGAAATCATCAGTAGAATAACAACACATGAGACGAAACTCAACGTAGTACTTAAATATGAAGTGAATTCTTCAGAAGGATCAGTGACAAGTGAAATAAGATGAAACACCGAGTGAAAAAATATATAAAATGACTAGGTCAAATATTGTTATGGTTATTAGTTATTGTTTTAAAATATTGTTATTATTCACAAGGTAATCAGGTTCAGGTTTGATCTGAGGAAAGAGAGGGTAGCTCCAATTCCTTGGATCAAGAGCCTTTAACCAGCCTTAAATACCCCCCTCCCCACAATCAAACATCAGAAAATCTTCTCCAGATGGTCTGTCGGAAGAATATCATCATGAATGTGGCGCAAAAAGAGCGACACAAGATAAATTTATAGAAAATACCAGTAAAGCCGTCATTTGACTTCCGTAAGGTTTTACGTTCGTCTCCCGTAGACAAGGCCATCACACCCTTGAGGCTGCTGCTCTCTTATTTAACTGACTGACATATCTCTCAGCCACTGACAGCTTGTACGGTATTTCCTCTCAGCGTACTTGCACACTTGATGCTAACTGATTTCAACTCCCAATTTTGTGGGTTTGTGGTATAACTGGGTAAGATTTGAATATTGCTTCAAACTTTTTTTTATCATGCATTCTATGATACTTTATATATATATATATATATATATATATATATATATATATATATATATATATATAATGTGTCTGTGTGTGTACTTAATTGTGGTTGCAGGGGTCGAGACTCAGCTGGCCCACCTCTCCACTGACCGCGACTGGGTCCTCCCTCTCCCTGCTCCATAAGCTTTATCATACCTCGTCTTAAAACTATGTATGGTTCCTGCCTACACTACATCATTTGCCAGACTATTTCACTTCCTAATAACTCCTTGGCTGAAGAAATACCTCCTAACATCCCTTTGGCTCATCTGAGTCTTCAACTTCCAATTGTGACCCCTTGTTTCTGTGTCCCATCTCTGGAATATCCTGTCTCTGTCCACCTTATCTATTCCACGCAGTATTTTGTATGTCGTTATCATGTCACCCCTGACCCTCCTGTGTGTGTGTGTGTGTGTGTGTGTGTGTGTGTGTACTCACCTAGTTGTGGTTGCGGGGGTCGAGTCATAGCTCCTGTGTATGTGTGTATGAGTGTGTGTATGTGTGTATATGTGTGTGTATGTATGTGTGTATGTGTGTGTATGTGTGTGTATATATGTGTGTGTGTGTGTGTGTGTATATGTGTGTAATATGTGTGTGTGTGTGGGGTGTTTGTGTACTCACCTAGTTGAGGTTGCGGGGGTCGAGTCCGAGCTCCTGTGTGTGTGTGTGTGTGTGTGTATGTGTGTGTGTGTGTATGTATGGGTGTGTGTGTGTGTGTGTGTATGTATGGGTGTGTGTGTGTGTGTGTGTATGTATGGGTGTGTGTGTGTGTGTGTGTATGTATGGGTGTGTGTGTGTGTGTGTGTGTGTGTGTGTGTGTGTGTGTGTGTGTGTGTGTGTGTGTGTGTGTGTATGTGTGTAATATGTGTGTGTGTGTGGGGTGTTTGTGTACTCACCTAGTTGAGGTTGCGGGGGTCGAGTCCGAGCTCCTCTGTGTGTGTGTGTGTGTGTGTATGGGTGTGTGTGTGTGTGTGTGTGTGTGTGTATGTGTGTGTGTGTGTGTGTGTGTGTGTGTGTATGGGTGTGCGTGTGTGTGTATGTGTGTGCATACTCACCTAATTGTGTTTGCAGGGGTCGAGACTCAGCTCCTGGCCCGGCCTCTTCACTGGTCGCTACTAGGTCCTCTCCCAGTTCAGTGATTATTATTATTATTATTATAGTCAAGGGGAAGCGCTAAACCCGTAGGATTATACAGCGCCTGGGGGGATAGATCCAATTCCCTAAATCAAGAGCCCCTCACCAACATCAAGGAACCTTCCCTGAGGGGCCCAGTTCAATGAGCTTTATCATACCTCGTCTTATAACTATGTGCATGTGTGCGTGTGTGTGCGTGTGTCTTTAATACTTGGGTATTATTTCTCCACAAAGATACCCAGGTGTCGCAGATGTGTTAGTTATGAACTTGTGGGTATTGTATACCTTTGATCTCAAGAATCTTTCACATTGTTGATGTTTCATTTTAAGACTGGGGGAAGGTGGCCTTCAAGTACAATGTTCATTGTTTACGAGACAAACCCCTTAACAACTGCTTCAGATCGTATATACATTGGGAGCTGTATATCTCCCAGTGTATATACAATGAGAGTCTGTATCTTTCCCCGTGTATATGCAGAGTTTACCTTCTATTTTCAATGTTAATTAATAATGCTCATGCAATTGATAGGCTTCAAACCTGAAAACAAGCACTAACAACTCTAACACAGTAGACAGAGAAGAAACAATACATTGAAGATGTACTAAATCTGCAACAGAAATGAACATTGAAGGACTAAATGCTGATAAATAATAATTATAAATGTACTAAAAAGTGCAAGTCACTAGTGACGTAAAAAACACTTTCTTGTGCGCCTACAACATTGACAGAGACTTAAACGTATCAACAGTTGTAACTATAACCAGCCAGGCACCTCCATAAATACACAAAGCTGCAATTGAGCACCACCATTCACGTCAGAAGGCAGATGCAGGAGATACACAGCCCATGTTATGTTATTCTTCAAGTGATATTCTATATCTGGACCGTCACACAACACTAGTCTGCTGCCCTTATCTATGTCTCTATCCTGACTTTTTGAAACAATGTTAATTTGTGTACAAACAGGTTATATCTGGGTCTTATTAAACTGCTGTATCACGTGTTTTTCAATCAATACTTTTAAGATCAATCAGGTCTAGTAACTCTTAGTCTACACTAACAAGGTTTTCATTACGGAAAACTCGTTTTTCGAGCTGAACATACTTTCATTTACCAACTGATAGTGCTTTCATATATCATCACCTTTACACAAACTACCTAAAAGTTACCACCAGGTAGGTATAATTGCAATACCGCTAACCTGTCTCTATTAAAGAAACCATTGTCTCGTATGTAAAGTCAGAGACAAGATAATAATAATAGAAGTTCTAAGGTTATGCTTCAATTTTATATATCCTTGGTAAGGCCTCGTTTAGATTATCCTGCTCAGTTTTGGCTTCCATATTACAAAATGGACATAAATGCGCTGGAAAATTTATAGAGAAGGACGACGACGCTTATTCTCGGTATTAGAAATCTCAGTACGAAGATCGGCTGAAAACCTCGAATTTGAACTCTTTGTTAAGATGTAGAATTAGGGTATTTGAGTGGGTATAGTTGGGTGTTAATTAAACCTGCCTAGTATGAGCCAGTACACCTACCGAAGTGTTCTTTTATTATTTTAATTCTAATTCTGTTTTTTTAAAAGCAAATTACTTCAGATATATGTATGATAATACATTAATTATAATAGCAATAAACCTGTAATCAACTTAATGTTTAATGTAATAAAATTTTCATTTACTAATGCTGAAAAAAGTGAGCTGCCTTTTATATGAAAATAATTTTTTTCCTTCCAAAGCCACATTAATCACAAAGCTTCAAGCATTTTTTCCACACACAAAAAAAAAAAAAATAAACGAGTTATGTAATTACAAATAATTCAAAGACTGTATGTGCAGAAAATGTCAAATTTATAAAATCTGTTTAAATATTTCATGATAATTGTTTTATGTAGTTTAACATTTTAAATAATTCACTCTTCTCACCATGGAACACTTGCACACAGAAGGCTTCAAAAACTATTAACCATTTTTCACAATAGTCTTTATTCAACACCAGAGATTCATTTTAAATATATGGGGTAGTGTAGTAGCAGTAGGCTCATAAATTAACTGTATCCTAGTGACTAGCAGCAGTCATCACATGCTCTCTTAAGACGCACTTACACACACACTCTGAAGGTACACACACTTTCTCTGAAGACACACACACACACTCTCCCTGAAGGCACACACACACACTCCCTTAAGAAACACACACTCCCTCAAGACACACACACACTCCCTCAAGACACACACACACTCCCTCAAGACACACTCTCCCTCGAGACACTCTCTGAAGACACACACTCTCCCTCAAGACACTTATACACATTCTCCCTCAAGACACACTCTCTCCCCTCAAGACACTTACGCACATACACACTCCCTCAAAACGCACACACATTCTCCATCAAAACACACACGCACACTCCCTCAATACACACACACACACACTCCCTCAAGACACACACACACACACACTCCCTCAAGACATACACACATACACTCCCTCAAGTCACACGCACACAAACACTCCCTCAAGACACACACTCCCTCGAGACACACTCTCTCAAGACACACGCACACTCTCCCTCAAGACACTTATGCACACACTCTCCCTCAAGACACTTATACACACACTCTCCCTCAAGACACACACTCTTTTCCCCTCAAGACACCTGCGCACATACACACTTTCTCCCTCAAGACACACACACACATTCTCCCTCATAACACACACACACACACACACACACTCCCTCAAGACACACACACACACACACTCCTTCAAGACATAAACACACATACACCCCCTCAAGACACACACACTCCCTCAAGAGACACATACACTCCCTCAAGACACACACACACTCCCTCAAGACACACACTCTCCCTCGAGACACACACACACTCTCTCAAGACACTTATACACACACTCTCCCTTAAGACACACACACTCCCCCTCAAGACACACTCTCTCCCTCAAGACACACATTCTCCCTCAAAACACACACACACTCCCTCATTTACATTTCTCAATTTACACAGTGACAACAATTGCTTACCATATAAAAAATACATCACAAATAAATATATTTAAATACTTATTACTATAAGATTCGGTAACATATAATTTAGTAAAAAAAAAAATTGCAACGGGAATTATTTCATCAGTAAATAAATGTCAATAAATCTTTTCAGAAGAAAAAACAATCGGGTAGAGTGTGTGAAGACAAACTGACGTTATGTCCAAGGCCAGCATTTACTGAGACAAATCATGACTTGTTAGTTCTACAAGGGCGAAACGTTGTCCCGACACAAGCTTTCACACCTGTGGCCACTACGCTAGTCATCCTGGGCAGAGGTTGCTGCCAGGTGTCCGGTTCATATATTGACTTCATACACAAATAACCTGCACGGAGGAGAGAGGAGCTTACGACGACGTTTCGGTCCGACTTGAACCATTTACCTTTTTGTTAGTGTGACAGTAAATGATCCAAGTCGGACCGAAACGTCGTCGTAAGCTCCTCTCTCCTATGTGCGGGTTATTTGTGTATTTTCCAATCACGGTATGTGCCTTTTTGTTATTCATTGACTTTAATGGGCGGAAAGGTAAACCCTTAGAGGTAATACGGCGCCTGGAGGAACTGGCGGCAATCAGAATCGTTGCAAAGGAAGGCAGCTCCAATTCTTTGGATCAAGAGCCATTCACCGGCGCGAAGGCACCTTCCATGAAGAGAAAGAATATTGATGACATCTCTATTGCCTTGATCCTGAAGGGTTCTTGATTTTTGTAATTACAGCAACGAGCACCTTCCTTCCATTCCTCGGGCGTTTTATAACCTGTATGGGTTTAATTCTTCCCAATGAATAGGATAATAATTACATTTGTTTTGAATAAACAAAATGGACCAGAATTCGAACCGTGGTCACGACACATAATAGGTCCAGTGATTTACCAGTGAGGTTCGAATCCCTGTCAATTCTCCTGTTTATTCACTGACAGTCGTTTATTACGACTTATCCTGAGTCTACATTTGTCTTTTGATGGTACACAACACCGACAAGTTGATAGATAAAACACGTGTTTCATTGATTAGTTACACCTGTCATAGTCTTATCTGCCACAATCTCTACCCATTTGGTTATGAAAATGATGAGAGGAAAACGGATGGATTAGGAAAAAAAATCCACGAATTCAGCAGGTACATAAGTAATGTACTTTACAACCTTCCCGCTGAGCAGGCTTTTTTACAACACTTAAAATAACCTATCACCTAATTAATAACCTATTACCTAATTAATCACAGATGTAAGGAATATGACAGTGCGATACATTATACATAATACAAGTTTCATATTTATTTTTAAGATTCATTTTCGATGGTTACTTCAGGAGAGACAAGAACAGATCAATCTCGTATAATTCCATTGCGAAGTCTTCCTGAGGGATATTTCTCACTTTAATATACAGCTCTTAGTGCAAGAATACAGTGGTTGAAATTATATACATATATAAGATTGTTGTTCATGTTAGTAAAAACTATCACATGGCCTCTTCAGCTAAAAGTGGGTATGTCACATGGCCTCTTCAGTTGGAAGAGGTCATATCACATGGTCTCCAGCTAAAAGTAGTTACGTCATGTGGCTTCCTCAGCTGGAAGAGGTCATATCAAATGGACTCTTCATCTAAAACTGGCCAACTCCTAAGCTAAAAAGAGGCCATATAACATGGCCTCTTCAGCTGGAAAAGGTCATCTCACATGTCATCGTCAGCTGATAGAGGCCCTGTTACATGTCACGTTGAAACTGGACCCAAATCTTTGTTTTCAATTTTTTTTTTGTTTATTATATTTCACGTTCTTGTGAAATTATCAAGTGTTGCTCGTCTTCTTTGGTAAGTCCAAGTGTGGCCAAGGAAGAGGGCCGAGATCTGGAGGTTCACCCACAGGGAGGTCTGGAATGCGAGTCAAGGCCTCAGACATCTGCAAAGTGGACAAGGACATGGATGGGTCAGGACGTGAGCCTCAGGGTAGTCCTGAGCCCTGGTAAGCCATGCAGGACACACTGTACGTAGACTGCAGAATGCGCTGCACTGCATAACAATGTTTAACGTTCACAGACAAGATTACACAATACAACACAACACTTTTTCTTTTGACAAGTACACAAAACAAGTAACATTTCACAACCCAGAAATTGGAGGGGTCATACAGTGACTTAATATGGATATGAAACTAAATAACTTTTCGGTCTGTCCTTGACTACAGTCAGTTCGAGACACATCAAAACGTACTCTATTTTCAATTCCAAGTTGTGGGTCAACTGTGAAATTTTGCAGCCACGGTAGTAACTGTAATGTAGTTACGGTACTGTGACTAAAGCTGCAACTACGGTACTGTGACTAAAGCTGCAACTACGGTACTGTGACTGTCATTGAACAGTTACTATAAAGCCAGAAAACAGATGCTCTCAGAGTAACTGGTAAGTTCTTCTAACAGATCAAGAAATTCATTGTTTGGATACACTGATTCTTGCTTTAAGTGTCTGTGCATTGAAAGACATCAAAATGAAAAAAAGTGTCCCTCAACGTAATTATCTATAAAAGATAAACAAATTACGAAGCAATCAGTCAGTGTATAGTGAATGCAAGAATTGGAAATAAGACGAAGGATTTACAAGAACCATGAGAATGCTGGGGCTGAAGATTGTACTGTGTCAGGTAATGAGTTGCCAGTCACAGGTGTCGAGTTCTACTCATTACCCAAGTAGATGGAGGCGCTGGAGGTAGATGAGAATACTATACAAGGTAATGAGTTGCAAGTCACGTGTGTCAAGTTGACCTCATTACCAAAGTGAACCAAGACACAGGTCTGATGCCCACCCAACTTTCTTCAGTTACTAATTAGGACTAAGGAAAGAAGAAAGCGGCAGTGTGTGGGGTTGCCGGTGTGTCTGTGAGAACTGTCTCGCTGTCTCTGACTCAGAGTTACAAGTTCATAAGATCTTTATACTCGGGGATCTGCACACCTAAAACAAGACAATACACTGAGGTTAGATAAAGCTGTGTACACTCAAGTCGGCTGCCAAGACAACACATAAATACACATAAATACATTTTAATGCATTTAAAAAATATTACTTCGAGTGTATTTTTCTTTCTGCTGTTTTGAAAATAATAAGAGCATAATAAACTTGTAATAAATAATATTAAACATATGACACCAAGTTAATGACCTAATTTAACTTACGAAATTGCAATTCTGACACTAGAGTGGAAAGGAGAGAGAGAGAGAGAGAGAGAGAGAGAGGAGAGAGAGAGAGAGAGAGAGAGAGAGAGAGAGAGAGAGAGAGAGAGAGAGAGAGAGAGAGAGAGAGAGAGAGAGAGAGAGAGAGACTAACCTGCAGGAGTTGGTATCAAAGTATCTGCCAGTGGTACATTCTGATACACCACTACACACACAATCACACTGCTGATCATCCCACACCTGCAAAACAACACTTTGTCACATTCATGATGAAACAATGACATTGCCTTGGTGATGAAAGGCTTCTAATTCAATGAACTGGAGTGACCTTGTCATTCCTTGGATTGAACCTCCTATTGTCCAGGCGGTGTACGACCCTAACGGATTTAGCCCTTACCCAAAAATGTAATAATTGAATAATAAAAATGATAAAAATACAGAAACAAAAAATTCAATATATGCCACTGAGTAAAAATCTATTCACTTTCTTTAAAACTAATGAAAAAATTACAAATATAACTAAAAAAATATTAGTTATTCTAAAGATTGTCTTAATAACAAATATATTAAAATACTTTTTTCAAAATCACATTAAATTAGTCTCGAGACACTCCCCAGATAGGGAGCCAAGGCCGGGTCACCACTACTTGGAAAAGACCCGGGCCAGGAGAATACCGGCGAACAAAAAAAAAAAATTAATTTTGATATCAAATAACGTTGGATGATACAGACCTTGCCACTGGAACAATTCTTGTGGGATTCCTGGGGACAGTAGCAGCTACAGGCATCACTGTCATACAGCTGGTTGCCTGTACAATGCTCCATGCGTACCTAAAACAAGTAATAATCTCCAGGTTATGCTTCCAGTCTATGAAGGCTTATACTCTTCCCTCAAACACCCACTCTTATTTCACGTATTAAAATATTATAACACCAGTAAGAACCGCTACTCCTATCATCAACAACTTTTTAGAGGGAGACCTAAAAGCTTTTTTTTTCGAGTTACAAAATATTCTAAATAAATGTGTATATATATATACAGACGTACTTTACACTCGCACTGGCATTTCTTGTGTTCTGCCACGACAACAGTTTTGAAGGGTTGTGGTCCTGGGAGAGATAAGTCTCTCTTCTTGATAACAAGCACCTGTAAAGTGAAATAAGGATAAACTTACTGCACATACACAATCAGATTAAGCATTCCTTAAGCAATATAAATTTACTGTAGACACACGATCAAACTTAGACACTGCTTAAGTACAAACGTTGAACTGAAATGGTATGTCAATGTTAACCAAAAGGAAATAATGTTCCTTGATGAAGCCCAGTGTGGGCGAAATGTGGTTATTGAAGGCATCAACTGCACCTGTAATATAGTCCAAGTACAAGAAATGCAATATAAAACTGTTTACTGGCACTTAGGAACGCACATGGCGACTGAGACTGCAAGGACCTCATCAGTATGAGACCCAAACATACACTACTGATATCACTTTTGGTGTCCTTGTCTACAGGTGGGTTTGTTGACGACCCCTCATTAATTGTAATTATTATTTTTTTTAACACGTCGGCCGTTTCCCACCGAGGCAGGGTGACCCAAAAAAAGAAGAAAAAACCTTCATAATTGTTCAACACTTTCACCATCATTCATACATAATCACTGTCTTTGTAGAGGCGCTCAGATTATTATTATTATTATTATTATTATTATTTGAAAAGCTGACCACTTTGGGGTCAACCAGCGCCTGGGTAATGGGAGGTAATCAGGATTGATCCAAACAAAGGGAGGGTAGCTCTAATCCCTTGAATCAAGCTTTTCAACAGCACCGAATAATAATAAATCAGAGCTTAAAGCAAATCCTGATATGAGTAAAATTGTACTTTTAGCCTCGTAAGCGATTTTTTTTACTTATTACTTGCACTTATTCTAACGTATGTAGAGAAATTAGATTAAACATTTCCGAGAAAAATGAAGGATCCATTTATGATGTCATAATGCTGTTTTCACTTATTATTTGTCTATGCATGCTGAAAATCTTATAAAAGTTGAGTAAAGTACTGGAATTTGAGCACAGTTTGGTGTGTGTGTGTGTGTGTGTGTGTGTGCGCGCGCGCGCATTACAGACAGGGGATGACAATAGCGTCAGATCATCAGCAATTACCTTGAACCTCTTGTTCTTGGTAACAGTGGGTCGACACTCGAGGTGGGAGGAGTCGCAGCAACCACCACACTGCTTGATGTACACACACGAAGGCTTCAGTGTCAGTAAGTGAGGTTCTTGGTTGGGAAGTTCAACAACCACCTTCTTGGGGTTGCACTGGACCTTCTTGTCCTTCAACAGGGCTTGAAGTTTCTTCATTTCGCTATCAGTCACTACACGAGATGTAAACCTCGTCAGCATTCTTATAAATATGCTAAATATAAACATCAATATTTTCTTAACACTCAGAATACTGAATTACAAAAACATGAAAGCTGCATTATGTAAAAACTAAAATACTTAAATAGCATATAATGATAAGGCATATGAAGAACACACTACATATTTATAATTTTATATTACCTCAAAATAAAAATATAGACAAAACATGACATTAAGTTCAAAAACTTTACCATGACCCGTTAGGTGGGCCATGATGTTGGTGTCACTGTAAGAAACTAACCCAGAGAAAATGGGGTAATCAACTTCCAATTAATACATAGTATTAATACATATATTTAAATAGATCACAATAACTGGTGATACCAAATATGTAGGATAACGACACTTCAAACAATCAAATAATAATCTTAAGTGTTTTCGTCCAGGTAGACATCAGAAATATTGAAGATGTTCATTAGGACCAAGAACTTAAGAGGACCTTTCAGATGTTTACACTGTTTATCCTGCACATTCATACATATAAATAAATATATGTATATACATATGTTTTCAAGCCATACGGCAAATCTTCGTATCTCGGAAGATTTAAGAAAGGGATTATTGGTTTGCCTCTTCTAGTCTTCGTATCTTGGAAGACTTGAGAAAGGGATTATTGTGTTGTCTGAGCACTACTCTACCTGTGGACACTACGTGCAGTGACACGCAACTTACGGTCCAGTGTTTTCTTGGGTTTCGAATTCGAACGATTTGAACTTTTGCGACGGTATCTGATCAACGTACTTTCTGACTTTGGTGTTAGTTGATTCTTGGTGATTGCGCGGCGTCCGCATCGCCTTCTCCACCAATTCTTGGCCTTATTAGAGGTCTCCTGCAATACGTGTGAAGAGTAAGAAAATCAGTATTGGGACCGGTGAATAAAATTATAATAGGGAAAAAAAGGAAGGAATAAGGAAGTGCTTGGGCAGAAGAGTAATTCGGTGCTGTCTCCAAGAATATCTCGCATTCATTAACCATATACAAAAATACAAACAAATCACACATACACACATGCTGAAAGTATGTATCCAAGACAGGACTCGCAGCAAGGGATTCAAACAAGACAAATTTAATCTTAGAAAGGATATAGGGAATGTTTAGTAATAAGTTATATATGGATAAAACAAATGCACAGGTAGCGTCTGTGAGGTAAGAATTTTGGGTAGCTTTAAATATAGGATGGACGGGTCTATGAATGGATATGGCTAGTTTTAAATTGGACTTGCCTACCATGGGCCAACTGGTCTACTGTAATGTACATTTATCCTTATTTCCATATGAACAGAAGGGTAGCTCAAAAACCTTGAATCAAGAGCCCTTAACTAGCCTCAAGGTATCTCCAGCTATAAGTAATGTACAAGTTAAATGACCTAGAAACAATGACAAAAATATTACATATTCCTTTAAAAAATTAAAAAAAATGACAAAAAATTATATTACCTATTGCTTTAAAAATTTAAAAATAAAAAAAAAATGATAAAAATGCTATTACCTAATGCTTTCAAAAAAAAAAAAAAAAAAAAAAAAACATGAAAACTGCCACACCTTTAGGCCCGAGTTTCATATACAAAAAAATCTTGAGGCAAGAGGCGTGGTCTAATATGAAGATGTTTAGACCTAAATGAAGACCAAAACTCGAAATCATTTAAGGACTAAGACTCGGATGTTAATAAGAGTTATTACTCACGTTGCTTAAGAAGAGGTTGCTGAAAGTCTGGGACAGACAGATCTTACGGTCCCTCACAAACTCCATGATATACATCGTCAGGTCAGTAACTTGAGACATGTTGACAGCCAGAGCCTTTGAAAACTGATAGCACATACATTATGATGATGATCATGATAATAATAATAATAATAATAATATAATAATAATAATAATAATAATAATAATAATGATACATTACACAAAGGAGCAAAATTACGGTTACATGCATGCAGGCGCGCGCGCACACACATACACTTAAGTAAGGAATCATTCAAGACATTGTACACCGTGTACGTCAGGCCCATACTGGAGTATGCTGCACCAGTATGGAGTGCACACCTGGTCCACCACGTCAGGAAATTAGAGAAATGCCAAGGTTTGCAACAAGATCAGTCCCGGTGCTAAGGGCATGTCTTATGAGGAGAGGTAAAGGGAAGTAAATCTGACGACCCTGGAGGACAGGAGGGATAGGGGAAAACATGATAACGACATATAAAGTACTGAAACGAATTGACAAGGTGGATAGGTAGACTGTTTCAGAGATGGGACACAGCAACAAGGGGTCACATTTGGAAGTTGCAAACTCAGAGAAGTCATAGGGATGTTAGGAAATATTTCTTCAGTCGAAAAATTAGACACATGTGCAACACTTAGGTATCTTTATTGAGGAAACGTTTCGCCACACAGTGGCTTCATCAGTCCATACAAAGGAGAATGGTGAAGAATACGAGGAGTTTGAGGTAATCAGTCAGCCTGGAGTCGATGTAATCGGTTCATCAATTTTGAAAAGAATACAGCATATGCGCGAAGAAGTGGCTTATATACTGTAGACAGGTGAGGTGCAGCAGTCGTTGGTGGTATCACACTTGACAAATCCAAATGTGGGAGTAGGTCATTCCTGAAGGTTAAGCAAGTGAATGGCACGTGTATGGGCTGATGAAGCCACTGTGTGGCGAAACGTTTCCTCAATAAAGATACCCAAGTGTTGAACATGTGTCTAATTTATCAACTTGTCGGTTTTCTGAACCATTTATCTATATTTCTTCAGTCACAGAGTTGTCAGGAAGTGAAATAATCTGGACAGTGATGTAGTGAAGTACGATCAAGCACATGGAGCATGGAGAGTGGACCTAGTAGCGATCAGCGAAGTGGCGGGGGCCAGGAGCTGTGACTCGACCCTAGCAACCACAAACAGGTGAGTGTACACACACAAAAAAAAAAAACTGCATGAATGCAAGATTATAAAATATGATCCGAGGAAGGGAAGAGTAGCTCCATTTCGTTGAATCAAGATATGTTCACCAGCATGAAGGCCAAGAGCAGTAATGCATAATTTTCCACCACAGACTATATCATTAGTGAAGTTTAGAGCCACCTGGGGGAGTGCATGTCTTCAACCAGTCGTCAAGGTGAGTACAATTAGGATAGCGTGTCTCTGAGGCTATTAGTGGACGTAGTATCGAGTCTCCCGCATTCCTTGCCCCGAATGACCCACTCGAGTTTAGCTCTTAACCAGGTGTATAATAATACAGGTAGGAATACAAAGTCACAATAAAGTGGCTAGAACAAATCACAAACAATCAGCACTTAGAAGAGGAAGCGTATGGCGACATTTCGATCCGTCCTGGACCATTGTAAACTCACAAGTGGTTGAATTTTCTCACGCCCACTTGTGAATTAACAATAGTTCAAGATGGACCGAAACGTAGTGATAATTTTCCTTTGCTAAGTCCTGGTTATTTGTGAATATATAAAGTCGTGCAGAACAAAGCTGAGAAGACGGATCACTCACCTTGGGCTGATGAAGGCTGGAGTCGACATGCTCGGAAGGGTAGACATCGTTGCTGGAGTATTGACGGGAGTTAGTGAAGAGGTCAGTGTCGTATAGTTTAGGTACAGCCAGTACTTGGGTCGCCTCTAGCGCCACCATCACTACAACTATCCTGCACCATCTGACACATAAGAAAAAACATTAACACAATAAATTCATTGATTTTCCATCATATTTTCACCTTTCTGAAGCTTTATCAAGCTCATAAGACGCACGCACACACACGCGCACGCGAGCTGTGACTCGACTCCTGCAACCACAACTACGTGAGTACACACACACATATACACCTCCCCACATGCACAAACACATCACGGACGCGCACACACACATACACACACACACACACACACACACACACACACACACACACACACACACACACACGCACACACACACACACACACACACACACATACACACACACACATACACACACGGGATACCGTAGGATTTCACGTTATCCGAGCAAGATATTCCCGCATTTCATAAACCCAGCCCCCTCTAGTCTACGATCTGAGAAAGGTATCTCTGTATCCCTCTACCTCAATGAACGCAAAAGAAATAGTGAAGAACGATCATAAGCTTCTAATGCAGTAAAATATACAAATATATTTGAGTGTGCGTATGTATATATGTGCAATGATTCGTGTTTGTATGTCTGTATGTCTGTGCATGTATAAGTATGACTGTGCGTATATATGCGTGTTCATATGGATAACTGTATATATGTGTGCCTACGTATACGTGTGACATCGGGAAGGGAGTTGCTTTATCTTGTGTGTATCACGGAAATCAAGAAAATGATCTTCATGAAACTCACGTTACTCTCTTATGAAAGTACAGTCAGTAGACCTACCCTTCTAAAAAGGTGAGTATTTTAAATTCAACTTAATATTAAATATTTGGGGTCGGTTATAGATACAAAACTATTGTCTTAGGTGGGTAAAAGAAACGTCGTAAAAAGTTAAATGATGCAAGTTTAAAATGTCTGAGAGATCCGTTTAGTTTCTGACCTTAAAAAAATCACAGAACGGATGGGGCTTGAACCCATGGCACGCGAGTCCTAAAATTCACAGGTAGCATAATTTCTTAGTGGTTCACTGGCTATTCCAGCCAGCGATTTCATCGACCTGGTTGAACTGTGTGGTTTTATGTTTCTCTTTTGAAAAGCATCGTTTTCAATAAGCTTTTGGACTGCCCATGGGTTCCCCGCTTAGTGCTGTACTGGTGAACCTGTATATGGAACATCTAGAAGCCGAACGATTTTCCTCTATTATTTCCCCTTGCGTCATCCGACTCCGTTATGTTGGCATTCCCATCATAATTCCCAGACGCTTCAACGTTCCTGCTTTCCAACACAAGCTCAACCAGGTCAAGCCCCCAATCCAGTTTACACTAGAAGTCGATGACACTCTTCCTTTCCTTGATGTTCTCTGCAAAATTGACCACGAACTTCGCTTTAAAGTCTACGGAAAGCCGATCAACCAACACAACCTTCTCCACTTCTACTCTCATCACGACACCAATACTAAACGTGGCGTAATCATAGGCTTCTTCCTTCGTGACCTCTGAATCTGTAAGTGAATTTCTTGAGGATGAATGCTCTTTCATCGAACAAATATTTTCAATACTTATCATAATGCTTATCATTTCATTAGACTGCAGACGCCGTGCATATAACATCAACTCGCCCAGACTAGATACCGTTGCCAAACACGTCTCCAACATCTTTTCCAATGACGGATTCCAAGTATCTACCTCCACATCCACCACAAGGTTCAATCCTGTGCAGGAGTATACGTAATACCTTGCAACGATTCCAACCAATTATACGTATTTCAGAACACCAATAATCGCGCAGCATGAACGATTTGAGGAATGCCTATGTTTTATACCAAAACTTCCACAACCATTTAATCAACTACAGAGACGCACGACTCATCGCCAGGGAGAAAGACACTCTGAATCGCAGGATCTTGGAATCATCACTCAATTTCAACCAGAAGAAAGGCTTTTAAAACATAGCTGAACCACTTGCAAGGAAACTTCTTCAGTGTTAACCTACACAGCAACAAACCTACTTGCCCATCCCGTGCAGGTCCTTCTCAAATCCCACACACACACACCTGACTCTTCACGTCACTATGCGCCCCATATATACTCATGCACACTTTGCTTAGGTAATCTTACTGTGACTTAATAAAGCCGACTGTGTGGGCGAAACGTAATCAATAAAGGTTCGCATTATACTGCATCTGTGTCTATTTTTTTTACACTACCACATTCGCATACGCAAAATCACGAATACTTGATTTAAACAATCATTATTATCACACATACAGCATCCCCTCAAACACTACACCAATATTTGAATACCACACACACACACACACATATAATTATAATATATATATATATATATATATATATATATATATATATATATATATATATATATATATATATATATATATATATATATATATATATATATATATATATATATATATATATGCGCGTGTGTGTGTGTGTGAAAACATGGAACACAAATACTTAATTTTCAAAAACATAAGTTTAGCAACACCTTGTAAAATTATCGTAGTATAATTTAACTTAATATAAGGTAGTAAGATGGTAAACAGCAGCTGCCCAGGGAGGTACTACCGTCCTGCCAAGTGTGTGTAAAACGGAAGCCTGTAATTGTTTTACATGATGGTAGGATAGCTGGTGTCTTTTTTCTGTCTCATAAACATGCAAGATTTCAGGTACGTCTTGCTACCTCTACTTACACTTAGGTCACACTACACATGCATGTACAGGAATATATATATATACACATCCCTCTCGGCTTTCTTCTATTTTCTTACTTGTTCTTGCTTATTTCCTGATATCTCCATGGGAAAATGAAACAGAATTCTTCCTCCCTAAGCCATGCGTGTCGTAAGAGGCGACTAACATGCCGGGAGGAAGGGGCTAGGAAGCCCTTCTCCTGTATATATTACTAAAGTTAAAAAGAGAAACTTTTGTTTTTCTTTTTGGGCCACCCTCCTTCGGTGGGATACGGCCGGCTTTTTGAAAGAATTAACTTAATATATACCAGATAGTAGGCTGGTAAATCTTTCTGTCTTCATGAAGACGTAAGATAACAGGTAAATCTATCTTGTGAACACGTAAGATAGGTAAATCGTTCTAGGTCGTGAATACATAAGATGACAGGTAATTAATCTCGTGAACACGAAAGATGAAATTTACATCTTAAAAAAACTTACATTTCTAATTCTGTAATGCTACTTACATTTCTAATCCTGTAATGCTATTTGCATTTCTAATCTTGTAATGCTACTTACATTTATAATCCTGTAATGCTACTTACATTTCTAATCCTGTAATGCTACTTACATTTCTAATCCTGTAATGCTATTTGCATTTCTAATCTTGTAATGCTACTTACATTTCTAATCCTGTAATGCTACTTACATTTCTAATCCTGTAATGCTACTTACATTTCTAATCCTGTAATACTTCCTTTCCAACCTAGGCCTGGTCTGAGCCCGAGGCACTGGAACATAATTGTCAGAACCACTATCTAATAACTATTCAAGCTATCCTAGATCTGCCTAAATTTAGTTAGGGCTATTTAGCAGCTAAGAAACTTACGATGTTCAACTGATTTTCGCAAATAGTGCAACAACTGAAGTACACTAGGCTTGTTTGGTGTGTGAACTAACAATGAATGTGCACTAGTCTTGGTGTCACAGAAACATCGTTGCTACTTATGCTAAGACAGTCAGTATTAAAAACACAACCAGTCGTCAATCATCTACATTCTTTGCGTCCCTGAGCGACCGACGAAAATACCGCACCTCTACAATGATGGATACTTGGAGGAGCTCTATTTAATCTTTGTGACTTCATTAACGTTCAGGGGGTTGAAGTAATAATTACGATATATTCACATGTCTTGGAAATTCAATATTATGTCTGCCATTATTAAAAGTATAATGCGTGAGGTATTCTAACGAAGGTACATTATGCTCTGGGATATATATCTGTATATATAGAGGTGTATGTAATAGTATATATACAGTGAAGTGTCTTTTCAGTGTATATACACTGAGAGGTGTCTTTTTAGTCTATATACACTTAGGTGTATGTCGCAGTGCATATACAGATATGTATATCTCAGTGTATATAGAAAGACGTGTATATCTGTATTTTTACACTGAAAGGTATAAATCTCTCAGATTATATACAATGAGAGTTCAATTTAATCCATAGATTGGGGATTAAAGTATCCTCGACTGGCAGTAAACAGAAGATACAGCCTTCATGATGAAACTTGTGCAGCCGACACTTGAAACCAGAACAAACGCCCACAACTAGGGCATATATGCCGAGAGGTATCTCTGAGTGTATGTGCACTATACCGAGGTGTGTCTCTGAATGAATGCACACTATACTGAGAGGTGTGTACCTCCCATGACTATATGTACACTATACCGAGAGGTGTGTACCTCCCATGACTATATGTACACTATACCGAGAGGTACTCACCTAATTGTGGTTGCAGGAGTCGAGACTCAGCTCCTGGCCCCGCCTCTTCACTGAGTGCTACTAGGTCCTCTCTCTCCCTGCTCCATGAGTTTTATCATACCTCATCTTAAAGCTATGTATGATTCCTGCCTCCACTACTTCACTTGCTAGGCTATTCCACTTCCTGACTACTCTATGACTGAAGAAATACTTCCTAACATCCCTTTGACTCATCTGGGTCTTCAACTTCCAATTGTGACACCTTGTTCCTGTGTCACCTCTCTGGAACATCCTATCTCTGTTCACCTTGTCTATTTCACGCAGTATTTTGTATGTTGTTATCATGTCTCCCCTAACCCTCCTGTCCTCCAGTGTCGTCAGGCCGATTTCCCTCAACTTTTCTTCGTAGGAGATTCCCCTTAGCTGTGGAACTAACCTTGTCGCAAACCTTTGCACTTTCTCTAATTTCTTGACGTGCTTGATCAAGTGTGGGGACGTGCTTGATCAAGTGTGGGTTCCAAACAGGTGCTGCATACTTCAATATGGTCCTGACGTACACGGTGTACAGTGTCTTGAACGATTCCTTACTAAGGTATCGGAACGCTATTCTCAGGTTTGCCAGACGTCCATATGCTGCAGCGGTTATCTGGTTGATGTGTGCTTCCGGAGACGTGCTCGGTGTTATACTCACCCCAAGATCTTTCTCCTTAAGCGAGGTTTGCAGTCTTTGGCCATCTAGCCTAAACTCCGTCTGCGGTCTTCTTTGCCCTTCCCCGATCTTCATGACTTTGCATTTGGCGGGGTTAATTTCGAGAAGCCAGTTGCTGGACAAGGTGTCCAGCCTGTCCAGGTCTCTTTGGAGTTTTAACTGATCCTCAACTGATTTAATTCTCCTCATTAACTCGTATCTGCGAGTGCATATATATTAAGAGCTTATTTTAATCTCTATTTTAGAGATTAAAATATTCTTTAATGGTGATGAACATAGTACGGGATTATAGTCTGAGGTGGCTCTGGGCACCATAAAGCCATCAACGAAGATTTACAGATGAACGGTAGCAGTGTCTACATTGTATAGGATTCATCAGGGCCAGATTTTGAGACTTTATAAAGTAGTTCAATTAAATGAAATTATTAAGCTTTATTTGACATTTCTTTTCTCATTTTTTGACTCCTGAGATTTTGGTGTCTAAAATCTTGTTCGTAAGCTACCCTCCCCCCCCCCTCCCCTAGATAATTCGGCAATGGGTGTATTGGTGATCAAGACTAATGGACTGAACACATCCACTCTAGGCTGACAGACTGATTACCTCAAATTCTTCATCTTCCACTGCGCTTCTTTGTATTGGACTGAAGAAGGCACTGGCTAGCGAAAAGTTTCGCCAGCCAAACCATTTACATCACATATAGGTGAAGGGTAACCTTAAATAATCCACTTATAGTTGATAGGTCTTAAACCTAACGAAGTTTCATAAAACACTTGATTTCACTCAGTAACACTGCCAATACTTACCCGGTTATATCACCAGTTCTCCACATTCCCAGCTTGTTGAAAATCTTAAGTGCTTGAAGACACACAAGATACAGTTGTTACACCTTCACAAACAAGGATTCCCCTCTAAATATATTCCTCTCCAGTGAGGAGTCGGTGTTGTGAGAGTACCGAGGAGGAGACACCGAGCACCAGGGTACAAGACGCTATTCCTCTGGTCGCAGAGTTAAGATAAGCTTCGGAAGCGTCCGCCGCAACGTTTAAATACCCTTTTCCTCCTGCTCGTCCGAATATAGCCACGGCACATACTTCATCGCCACGTAAATAACAAGCTATCAGAGTATCAAAGGACTTCGTGGCCTTTACATGAGGGAATTAATTCAGGTTTTACTTGTACGATAACAGTAATATAATCGACAAGGACCGTCAGCAAAATTAGCGATTTGATTAGATGCCGGTAAAGCAACACCAGGATTTCGGACGGAGGCAAAATATACACAAGAAATTCCGTTCACTAGAAGAAGCACTGCCCACTTTCACACTAATTATTAAATTTTATATATAATAAACATTTTGGCATCATAAGCAGCATATCCACTATTCGCTTTAAGATTATTTATGATTCATACATACATGATAACAGATATAATGAAGGTAAGTGTTGAGCGGCCGGTGGTAACTACTGATAGCACCTACTAGCCTGACACCAGCAATATTTCTTGGAATTCCAGCTTCATGTTATCAAACAATGTGGCTATTTTTTTTATATCCAACCAAAACATATGTGATATATTTTCACTGAAGTTCCGTACTACACTGTGAGCCACAATAGTCACTTATTTAACGGACACATATTTACTACTAGGTGAACATGTTCAGAAAGTGCAATTAACCTTGACTCAATTAAAAACTGAAAGAGGAAAGCATGATGATAGTTTTAAATAAAACACTATATACGATATATATCAGACCCATATTGAAGTACGCAGCACCAGTGTTGAGCTTATACAGAATCAAGCATGTCAAGAAGCTAGAAAAAGTGCAGAAGATTGCAACGAGACTAGTCCCAGAGGAAACGGGTATGAGATATCAGGAGAGACTAAAGAAGTTTAATCTGATGACATCAGAGGACAGAAGAAGCAGGGCACACAAGATTACGTCATACAAAAAATATTAAGAAGAATTGATAGGGTGGACAGGGACTGGCTGTTCAAGAGGGAGGAAACAGGTACACGAGGGCTGAGGTGGTAATTAAAAACACAGATGAGTCATTGAGAATGGGCAGGAAGTAAAATGCCCTGGAGAGTGAGGCGGTACAGATAGAATCTATACATAGCTTTAAGAATAGGCACTATAGGGCTTAAGAAGCTATGAGAGTGAACCCAGCAGTGGCTAGTTTGAAAGGAAGGCCTAGGAGCTGAAATTAGACCCCTGTATCCACAAATAGGTAAATACACACACACACGCAGATAGAATATCGAATAAATGTGAGGAGTGGCACGAAAGAATCATGGAGGCATCCCCGGACATCATAGCACTCACAGAAGGTTCATGGGAATAACAAATGCAATCTTTCCAACTAAATATCAGATCCTGAGGAAAGATAGAGGGGGTGGAGGAGTTGCACTGCTCATCAAAAACCAGTGGAGATTTGAGGAGTTGGGAGGAGGGAACAGAGGGGAAGCAAGGGACTACATAATAGGAACACTTCAGACTGGGGGTCCTAAGGTAGTGATTGCAGTTGTGTACAACCCTCCACAGAATAACAGGAGTTCATGATAAGAATATGATGAGAGCAACAGAGCAATGGTTGATACACTAGCTGAAGTGGCCAGAAGGCCCCACATGACCAAGGCAAAATTACTAGTTGTGGGCGATTTCAATCATAAGGAGACTGGGAAAACCTGGAGCTACATGGAAGGGGGTTGGCTAGAAACGTGCAGGGCCAAGATGATGGAGGTGGTACTGGACAACCTCATGCACCAATATGTTAGGGACACTACCAGAGAGGAGAGGATGAACCAGCAAGGCTGGACCTCATATTCACTTTGAGCAGTTCAGACAGTGAGGACTTCACATAGGAAAGGTGATCATGTGATTTTGAGCTTCGAATACATAGTAGAATTACAAGTGGAGAGAGAAGCAGGCAAACCTAAGAGCAGCGTTTCGACACCTTAGTAAGGAATCGTTCAAGACTATGTACACCGTGTACGTCAGGCCTTGATTGGAGTACACAACACCAGTATGGAACCCACACCTGGTCAAGCACGTCAAGAAATTAGAGAAACCGCAAAGGTTTGCAACAAGATTAGTCTGGAGCTGAGGGTTAAGGGAACTCAACCTAACAACACTGGAGGACAGGAGGGATGGGGAGGGGGACATGAAAACAACATATAAAATACCAAGAGGAATTGACAAGGTAGACATGGACAGAATGTTTCAGAAATGTGACACAGCAACAAGGGGTCACAACTGGAAGTTGAAAACTCAGATGAGTCACAGGGATGTTAGGAAGTATGTCTTCAGTCATAGAGTTGTCAGGAAGTCGAACAGTCTAGAGAGTGATGTAGTGGAGGCAGGATCCATACATAGCTTAAGAAGTATGATAAAGTTCATGAAGCAGGGAGAGTGGACCTACTAGCGACCAATGAAGAAGGTGGGGGGCAGAAGCTGTCGGTAGACCCCTGCAATCACAATTAGCCTAGTAAAATTAAGTGAGTACACACACACACACATTCAGATACCCGCAGCTATTACATGAGCATACATTGTCCATGACAAAATACATTAAATTAATATTTTGGTCAGTGAGTCAACAGGGGGCGTGAGACCTCAGGAACTTCCACTTGACGTCAGAAACAAACAAAATGATGAAGAAAAAGGTTAGTTTAGAAACAGGAAAGGGCCAAGTCGAGTCATCGAAGCCAGCAGCCTGGGCAGCTTTAAAAATAGCCTGAATAAATACATCAGTAAGAAGAGTTCGAAGTAAAAGGCATGGTGGTACCATAAGATCTGCAAAAACAGACACTAAGATACAGTCTAAAGTATTTATAAGAAACGTGTCTTAACATGTGGCGTTTTCTAGAAGGAAGGAGTTTGAGAAAGAGATGCCTAGCTTGAGGCAACAGGCCTCTGTTTTTGTTCTTCAATTCAATATTTCGAGGGACGTCCGTCAAGGTATTTTATTCGCCATACTAGGAACACTTGATACTTATTCTTCTAGGAGTTGCTTGGATGCCGGGGAAGGGCTCTTGATCCGAACAATTGGAGCTATCCTTCAATTCGTTCATTTAAACCTAATTACCTACTATTCCCTACGGGTTTAATGCTTCCCTAAAAATAATCACGGCGATATCCCACAAGCTTAACTCGTAGATATAAAGTTTAGAAAGACACTAGGACGTGTTTATTTGAAAGCGCTTCTGTCCTGGAACCTTGATCACTTTTAACATAAGCGTTCGAAGATAAGAGTATATATTGACTGAAGTGGATTGCGAGTGACATGATGAAAATGCACGTGAAGTTTTTTTGAGATTGTGTAAGGTAGTTCATGATGTCAGGTGTTTTGTGTGTTGTGAGGTAGGTTGGACTTAGCCTGGTTGAGTATCAAGTATTCCAGTATTTTTGCAATATTACAACTTCCACGGTACTGTTGGCGGCAAATAGTGAGGCTTCAAGGCACTATCTATTGTGAATTATTCTTATTACTATGCGAGCAAATCACCTGCAGGAGGCATACAGGGCCTTACCTGAATTATTACCTGCAAGTAATTTGGGTGAGGTAAGTGGGACTTACGTCACAGCAGGTCGCTGAACTGAAAGTCCCTCGATTCTGACTTCTTCATCACTCACAAAAAGCTAGACCTGACATTAAATTAATAATTACAATACGAAAGCCAGCTACTCTGGTAAATTAAAGTTGTAGACTGTATATGATTAGGCTTGCTGGGTACATAAAAGAAATTGGTATTAACACTTACTATTTAATTAATGGAAGACACTTAATGCTGATGAAACACGCCCTAACATTACCCTACCAGCAAAGATTTACGATGGCCAATGCAAAAACTACTGTACTTTATGGGTAAGCGTCACTTACCTAAGGTATGTTATTGGGAAGGATTCATTGAAGTCCTGTATTGAAGTCCTGCTTTCCATATTATGTATATCAGTTCTTCAGTAGGAACGTGTCAGCAATTTCTAAATTACGAATCGAGGCCAATATACACCAACTGACCTTCGAGAACGCCTGATTACAGTGCACAATTCAGTCCAGTGTTCACACATTAAATTCCCAGAGTCACTCAACAGCTCTTCTATAACTCCCCCCCCCCCACTCGAAATTTCTCGAAAGGGTCAAATCATCATCACATTTTATTACACAATTAGGGTATTATTCAAATTTACACATGCTGAATTTAGGAAAATCCAAAATTTTCCACACTATCAGCGTTTAAGGCCATTTTCACTGAGGACGAGTTGTGCCTCATTCCAGTTCATCAAATGTCCCGTGGAGTTTCTGTGGAAGACATGGACGTTTTTCAAAGTCGTCCCTGCTTCAGGCGCTTCGGTGTTTACTTAAACGGACCAATAGTTTTCCTACATATTTCTTGGATCAGCATCCACAGGGCATAGTGTAGACTCCTGCTGTGGAAGTTAGTGGCATTTGAAGTAGGGTGTATTCATAGTGGAAACATTGATATTTGTGGCTAGCAAGCACTTGGCGGGTAATCCTGGCATCATCACCACAAGGGAACACTATAAACATTTTTAGAGGAATGTTCCGAGGGGCATATGTTCGGGATAGTTTGTGCCTTGGAGTCTACAGTTCTGAATGAAGAAAGATGAAAATGAAGGCGTGTAAAGGTTTGCATTATGTAGGTATATTCCTCTACAAGGGTAGGCGATGCGAAGAGTTCTCAAGCTCTCTTATATGATGTATGAGAGGGCGTCATATTAATAGGTTTCAAGACAATAAAAAACGTATCACGGACTTCTGTAATTGAATTAATAGCTTCATTAGGCACCTCTGTGCCCATCTTATGAGCGGTAGTCATCTTATTCCTATCTAATAGGCGGCAGTCACCTTATACCCATCCTGTAGTAAAGTTAAAATAATTGGCTAAGATTTTCTCATTCTAAACGAAATATTTGGACTTTTCATGAAATTTATGAATATACTGCTAATAACAACGCTAAGTGTGGAAATAATTCTGAAGAC